CCAGCCACGTCCTGCCTCACTGGTGTGAGGGCAGCAGTAATCCTGGTGGGCAGGAGCCATCCTCCTGGGCTGCATCCGTAAGGAGGAAGTGAGACTGGGGAGAGGAACTAGAAATAACCAGAGAACAGGGAGAGGAAGAGCGCTGCTCACCGGGGATATCGCAACCCAGCCCCAGGCCGGTGTGTTTGCTTCTGGGGTGGGTCTGTTCAGCTGAATGTGGTTCCTGAAGGAACAAAGATCAAGTTCCTGGTAAGGCTGGGTCATGGAAGAGCTGCCTTTTTACAGGAGGACTGTAAACCAGGTCAGTGCTCTGTGGGGGATCCTGGTGCCCATAAACCATGCCAGCCTGTGGCTGACACTGTCCTGCCTCCAGGGAAAAGCTTACAGCTTCCCCATGCTGCTGCCAGGTGGTTGGTGCCTTGTCCCCCTTTCCTCCAGCACCACGGGAATATTTGCTCCTTTTTTTTAGCCGTGAAATGGCTAAAATGCCTTTGTGTCCCCTAGACTGCGCCCTTTGGCTTGTTGCAGCTGAAGGAGAGCACTTGTCCCTGCTCTGTTGTGGTGTGAGGAGGGCACTCGTCCCAGCTCCAGCTCAGGTCCTCGTGGTGCTCAGCAGCCTCAAACACAGTCCTGGCAGGGCCTAAGGCAGTCCTGTGCTTTCAGAGCTCCCTGAGCCATCTCTGGTTAAGAGTAACCCTGAGTGCTGGTCTGCACACAGCATTTCATCTCCTAGCAAAGCAATTTAAAGATTCATTCCTGGGAAAAGGTGGGTTGTTTTTTTTTTTGGGGGGGGGGGGTAACGGAAACCACCTTACTTCCCCATCACTTTCTGGCCACATACTGCAACGCCTTGGCTGCTTACATCCTTAGAAACAGTGGTTTTGCAAAACATTAACTAAAGCCCACCAAAACACATCGGTAGCCTTCAGTCTCTATTTGCAGACAAAGTGAGTGACCTCAGCCAGGTGGCATGGACAAGGTGACCCCTGGGGACAGCTGTACCCAGCAATGCCTCCATCCTGCGCCCCTTGGGCTCTGTAGCTGGCTCTGGGTTAACCCTGCCTTCCCCAGCTGGTGACAGAGCCCAGCCTGCCTGGGGAGGGGGACCTGCTCACCATGACCTGCTGTCCAGCACCCCTGTCCTGAGCACAGCCCTGCTCTGGCAATCCTGCTTCTCCCCAGAGCTTCCCAGGCTGAGCTAACTTCCAGCTCAGCCCGCCGGAGACTGTACCAGCACAGAGGGGTGGCTGTGCTATCAGACACCCCTTTCCATGGGAGCCCGTGCTTGGTTCAGCTTGAAGTGTCTGTGAAATCACCCAACCCTGGGTGATTTCTGCTGCAGCGTGGGGCACACAGGTCCCTCCAGCCCAGGGGTCAAGAGAAAACCATCCCCACCAGCAGCTGTTTGAAAGTTTCATAAATCTCTTCCTGCTGCAAGATAATCCGGAGGCTCTTTGTCCTTTTCCTGGGAATAAGGAGGGGGGTTATTCCTTGCCCTCTGCGAGGAGCAACTTTTCACACTTCCACTTAGTCCCCGAAGGGTAAACAGATACAGCATAGCCGCTCGCACCTTGGGGACTGTCCCTCCTGCTGCCTCATCTGGAGAGGGGGGGGACCTGCCTCTTGGCAAAGTCACCCTCGGTGACAGAGGATATAAGTGCAATTTTGCAAGTTCATGTGCTGCTCTTTGGAGGCCAAGACTGTTTGCTGGTTTTGTCACCTCCACAGTCACCTCCCAGGACAAGTGCCCTGCAGTTGGGGTGAACATCTGGCTGTGCCCCATCACCTCCCAGCCCCCTCTCCACCTTCCCCAGGGCTCACCTCGGTGCTGCCCTGTGGTGTGGCCAGGGCAGCATCCTCCTGAAATGCCCCTCGGAGAGCTTCATGCTGCAAGAGAGGCAGAGCTGCCCACCAGTCTGGGCTCAGCCATATGCACTGGGAGCACTGGGTGCTGGTACCCAGCAGGTTTCCGAAGGGCTCAAGGCGAGCCTTGCAGCTTGACCAGAGGCTCTGGGAAAGGTACAGGGTGCACCAACGTACTCTGATGAGTGTCAGTGGCGGGAGGGATGCCCACAGCAGCCTGCCCTCCCCACTGAGTGAGCCCTGGGTGCTGGGATCTGGGCCTGCACCTCTCCCGGGCTCTTTCTATGAGCCCCACTGCTCACATGCACCTTCACCAGTGTGTAATGAAAGGCTCTTTCCGTGGTGAACAAAAGCGACCAGACAACCTGGTTCCCCGAGCAGAACATTAACCCTCTGCTCCCTTCCAGCATGGGCAACAATGCTCCCCTAGTTCAGGAAAAGGCTCCCCAAGCCCCCAGCACCAGACCAGTAGCCCCTGCCCCAGCTGGCCTGGGGAGCCCCTTAAAGCCCATCAGCTGGGAATCAGGGCTGATTCCCAGTACTCACAGATGGTTTCAGGGCAGCACAGGCCCAGCCCATATGCCATTACAGGCATCAGCTCAGCAGGTGCTGAGCATGCAGCTGACACCCTGCATTTTCCATGCTCTGGCTTTGATTTCACAGGGCCAGCACCAACACATGGCTCACCCATCCGGCACAGAGGGCACAGCAGCGATGTAACCCCAGCTCTGCAGGGAGGTGCTTCCCAGACACGCGGGTGCATTTGCTTCATCATCAAGGTTAGTGTGGATTAAGCCATAGCACAGCTGCTGCTGGAGGCCAGCTGTAGGTGCAGGCAGCATCTCCCCATGCAGTTCTGGCTGGGAAGACTCCCCATGCCAGAGAGGCTTTCTTCATGCTTGGAGTGAAAGCTCTCTGTAATCATAACTGAAGCAAGATGTGGTCTCTGCTTCAAGGCTGGAGTTTTGCCCAGGGCTCAGTGCTATCAACTCCCATGGTCATTTCCCACCCCCCGCCCCATCTATTTTCTTAAAAGCCTCAAAAAGAAGAGGTGTGCTCAGCTAGGAATGCCTGGGCCCCGGTTCAAGCTCAGTATGCTTTTAGTCTCTTGAGCTGGCTGCAAAAAACCTGAACAGAGACTCCTTGTGAACCCCGCAGAGCCAAAAAAAGAGGAGGCAAAGAATGAAATGTCCCTCATTTCTGTTGAAACACTTTGAAAAGAAAAGCTAGCAGCAATCTTTCAAACCCTTGGAGACAGCAGTGCTGCCCACACCCCTCGGAGGCAGCCAGGTCATAGCAATGGCCAGGATGACTCCTCACAAACCCGGCCAGACACAGGGCAGGGGTCAGTACATTTGCAACAATTTCGAGCTCTGTGCTTGGCTGGAGCACTGCCGCCTTCCTCCTCCTCTCACAGAGGGTGCACATGGTACCTACCTGCCCTGCCACAGGGGCTTCAGAGAGCACTGGCTTTGTCCTGCCCTTGTTTCTTCGTTGCAAGCTCCGTGCCTGGGGGAGCTGGGAGCACCCAGGCCAAGGCTAACGCTGCCTCTTGCCCTCTGCTCAGCATAATGCCGGCTCCCAGCCTCCTTACATCACCCCTTTTGCTTCTTTCCATGACCCCAGCTATGGTGGCAGAGTGAGGCCCAGTTAAGCATTCCTGGCTAAGGTCTAATCCCTCTGGCTATTTTTAAAACCCCATGCTCATTCCAGTCCTTTGTACCCAAATGTGGAACAAAGGATGAGCCATCCTTCCCCCGAGCTCCCCTGCGCAGAGGGGCCGCTCTCAACTCAGGTACCGACCCCACAAATTTCTCAGCGTGACAAATGTGCTTAACAAAAGGCAACAGCCCTGTCCCCCAGCGCAGTGGCCATGGGGACAGAGCAGCAGAGCTAGCACAGTCCCCTCACACTGGGGATTTGCCCCAACTGTATGGGTGGCTGCTTCATCTCTGGTGTATCCTCCCTGTGCTTACTCCAGCCGGCTTTCCCCCTCTGCATTACACTTGCTGCCGCAGGATTGCAGTGCTCCCGCTGAGCGGGGAGGGCAGGGCTCTCCCCATTTCTGCTGCGGAGAGGGGAATGCAAGAGCAAGGAATAAATATCCACGAAGATTAGCGCTTGCATGGCACTCTGTCCTGGGAGAAAGTGTTGAGTGTCACCCACAGCCTGCATTCCCTTTCTCTCCGCTCCCCAGCTGCCTCTCCTGTTTCCAGCCCTGGGTTCACAGTGTCCACAGCCAGCACTTTCATTTCATTCCTCTCTCCACCCCCATTCCCTCTTGAAAGGGAAAAGATAATAGAGCCTTTGTTGGGTTTTGCAGCACAGGCACCGACCAAGGAGCCACACAGGGGTAAGGGGCTGCCGGGCGCAACC